CCCCCCCCCCCCCCCCCCCGCGCAGAGCCTTCTCTGAGGCCTGCCCGTACTTTAGCTGAGATGAGATCTGGTTTTCAAGAAGGCATGTGGGGCCTCTGTAGAACGTCTTGGGAAACTGAGCGGAGACTGACCTTTGCCCATAGGCTGAGCACATCCAGGCAGTCCTCTGTTCCTGCCCAGGAAAGATGACAAGGCTATGGCATGCCCATTCCTGGGTCACAGGACTCCTTCCCAGCATGCTGCACCTACATCGTCCCAATTATTTTAAGAGCTGGGGACAATAGTGTGCCTGTCTGAGGAACCTGCCTAGAGTAGTAGAAGGGTGGGCTGGTAAGACCTGGGGGAGGAATTTGCCTGATTCTCATCCCAGATTGTGAAGCCATTTCTTCCTGTTCAGGCTTCATTTTAGAAACCTAGTATCTTGTCTTTATTGTCATCATCTTCTATGTGAGTAAAAGCCAGGTCTGAGCCTCTGAAATGGTGTGAGAGAAGCCAGTCAGTCCTGACTATTAGGTATTGGAGCTAGACTTCCCAGGTTCCATCTGACCCAATGTGGAGGCTCTACAGGTCATCCACTTGGCATGTGTACCTGGCCTGAAGCCCAGGAGGCAGGGTCTAGGGAAGCTGTGTGGGGACACCCAGTGCTTGAGGCCCAACCTCTGCCCAGGATGAGCTGTATAGTCTGGCTCTCTATTCCCACCCAGGACTACCTGTTTGTATATGTGCAAATGACATGCTCATAGGGCAAACACTGTCACGCAGCCCTCCCCAACACTGAGTGCCAAGCAGCAGGAGAAGGGGTAGGAGAATAAACAGGACATTTATCACTAGGAATGTTCTGAGCTCAGCAAAAGAGAAGGGACAGCTTTGGGCTGCCTGGAGGTTTTGAGAGGTGATTTGGTTCCCGGGACTGGGTGCTAACCTAAGATTCTGAAGAGGAGCCGAGTGTGGACACACCTAGCCTGGAATCTCCACACTGAGCGTCTCACAGGCCTTAGAGGGTTCCTAAGGTGGGCCTAAGCTGTAATGAGTCAGGGCCATACTAGAAAAAAAAGAAGGATGAGGAGAGGAAAAGGAAGAGGTTGGGATTCAGTGGTAGACATTTAACACGCTGCAGGTCCTGGGTTTAATCCTCAGGACTAAGTAAATGACTAAGCAAAGAAGGGCGCTGGCCTGGTGGCATGCGCCTGTAAACCCCTCGTTCTGAAGGCAGAAGGATTGCCAGGGGCAACATGGGCTAGATAGGGAGTTTGGAACCAGCCTGGGTAAATCTCTACCGCCCATACTCCTCCCCAAAAACAGAGTAAAAGAAAAGGCTAGAGATGTAGCTCAACAGGTAGAGTGCTTGCCTGCCCTCAGCTCCATATAAACTGGGCGTAAACAGGCAAATCCCTGTAATCCCAGTGTTGGGAAGGCAGGCAGGAGGGGCAGTTCAAGACCATCCTCAGCTACACAGTGGGTTGGAGACTAGCATGATTTACACGAAACCCTGCCTACAAAAAGAACCCATGGACACAGATAAGAAGGTGATGAGCAATTTAAAAACAAAACAGCCTCAATGGAACAGGCTCAACACATTTGAGTAGCACTGGGGATTTTCATATGATAGTTGCCTAGGCTCTCCACACAGGCCTTTGTAGACCTCAGACTGTGTCAAGGCCACAGTGTGCACTTCTCTATCCAACTCTGTGCCACCTGGTGTGGCCATCAGTCTGGATCCCAGCCCCTCACTCACCCTCCCTGTTCCTGCTGGCACTTAAATCTCACCTCATTTCATGGATTGCCCTTCCCTGGTGGGAACATGTGCTGTAGGCAGGCATGAAATTGGAGGGCATGCTCGTTTAACTAGCGTGGATCAGGGAGGCGCGGGGTGCTGCTTGTGGCCTTCCACCTGCACAGCCTTGTATCCAGCAGAGTAGGTGGTAATGACTGATGGCTGCCTTATCACTCAATTGGCCTGCTGCCCTCTCTAACCACTTCTTGGGGAAGGGTCAACTATTCAGGAAGGACAACAGCAGGCTTCAGGAGGTAGGTGTGTGTTTGGGGGTGTGTGTGAGTGTATATGGGGTGTGTGTGTATGGTATGTGTGTGGGGGGTGTGAGTGGGTGTGGGTGTGTGAATGTATATGGTGTGTGTGTGTTTGGTATGTGTGTGGGGGTGTGTGTATGTGTGTGTATGGAATGTATGTGTGTGTGAGTCTATATGGGGTGTGTGTATGGTATGTGTGTGTATGGTGTGTGTGTGTGTGTGTGTGTGTGTGTGTGTGTGTGTGTGTGTATGGGTGGGGAATGCTGTGGAAGTGACAGCCAGAGGTTCTCAGCACAGTGTTCAGCTCACATACTCTGGACCTATGTCTACATTTACTGAGAGGAGAGGAAAAGTGCATTTGAACTTGTGTTTGAACACCTTCATTGTATAAGAAGTGATAGAGCACATGTATCAGTCACATATGAAGCTTTTACGAGGCAAGAAAGGTAACAGGCAAGTTTTGGCAGTTTGCAAAATAAATGCCATTAGTAAATAGAAAACCGTTATATTAGCCATCAGTGAAGTGCAAATTAGAACAGCAAGAAAGGTGCTGCACCAAGGCCAGAGTGTTAAAACAAACCAAAACAAAAACCTACTTGCCAGCTGGGCGGTAGTAGCGCACGCCTTTAATCCCAGCACTTGGGTGGCAGAAGCAGGTGAATCTCAATGAGTTTGAGGCCAGCCTGGTCTGCAGAGCTAGTTCCAGGACAGGCTCCAAAGCTATACAGAGAAACCCTGTCTCAAAAAAACAAACAAAAACCCTACTTGCCACAAGCTGGGAAGCCCCTGTCTTCTAGTCCAGCTTCCCTTCCTCTGGATCAGCAGTGAGAAACCAACAGACACATGACATGGGATGCTCCAGGTCACCTTCCTGCTAGAGTCAGGGCAATAGAGCCCCGGGAGCCCCTGAATATCCTGTTGAGGAGCATGTTGCCACCACCACACTTGGCCTAGAACTGAGGCCATGGGATAAAACCACAGAAACTGACTGAGCTAACTGGCTGTGGGTGCAGCAGGGTCTGGAGACCTCAGCTGGCACTGGGCACAGTGCACATTGACAGATGTGGCTACCCTCCAGCATGGCCTGAGCACAGCCTTTGTGTTTGCTGGGGACATTGCTCAGCATGTTGGCTTGCACTTTGCTTCTCACTTAGCGAATGTGTCACTGGATCTACAGTGCCTAGAGCCATCTGTGTAGGTGGATGACCCTGGGTTGTCACCTGCCACTTGTTTTCTACTTTGCATGGGTTCGAGACCTGAGCTCAGGAGGTGCCTACATCTCTGATGGTCCCTCAGTGCCAGGATGGAGCTTGACCCAGATCTGATCCCAAAGGAGAGAAGCAGAGCTTGAGGGAGCTGTGAGGCTATGTCTGAGGCCATGGGGCCCACCCTGTTCCCCGTAGTCTATACCGTGGCTGCAGGGTTTGTCTCAGTTTTAGGGTCCCACAATATAGGATGTCTGGGGAAAGATGGCCTCTCTGGCCTCTGGGGCTACACCATACTCATAACAGCTTTCTAGGCCTTCAGTGTAGCCATG